TTGAACAGAACTGTTTGCAGTATCATTGTTGGAATGTCCACTCTACAAGCTTTAATTTTGTGACTTGAACAATTATTTTTAAGATGGCAATATGTAATCCATTAACTAGTGATTTCCTACTGTTCATTTTTTTCTTCTGTAAATCTGTATAACTTGTACCCTTTCACTTTTTTTTTTTTCTTTTCTCCTTAAATAAAAAAAAAAAAAAAAAAGAGTTATATTACCTGGGGAGAAAAATCCAGGAGTTGGTTAAATGTGTTAACAGAACCGTATTTGACGTTGTAAAGTAGCGTCTCTAGGAATGCGGTAATTCAGTCACTGAGCAGGAGAGGAGGAAGGAGGCGTGTGTTTAAGGTAACTCGGGCTGGCAATTAAGGAGTGGCCATTCCCTTTTCTGTCCCAAGCCTGTATAAAGCACACATCCTCCTGAGAAGAGGGGCAGCCTGGGTTCCAGCAACCCGGAGGATCCAGCGCCACCACTCCAGAACAGCCCGTAGGTAGTGCCGGCATGGCAACGCCTAGTAGAGGGCTAAGTAGAAACTGTTTTTTAATTACACAGCTGGCCTTTCCCGGCATTGCATCAGCAGGACCCAGAGCAACCAGCCAATCGGCTCCATGTCCCGCACACTGCGAACAGAGCGCACCCTGGGCAACCCTGGCTCCTCTAAGGTCACACGAAGCTTTGCTTCCCTCCCAGCCAGAGATGGGGCTGCTGCCCCAGAGAACGTGCTGCGAGGACCCGTAACTCTCTGAGTTATGCTTAAAAAACGGTGCCATCGGCAATATTTCCACCACCTTTTGTAAAACTGCTCTTAAAGACAATCGCTATTATCTTGTTCAATGGCCCTTATTTAAAGATCTACATGAGAATTTCATTTTAGAGCTGAATGTCAAGAAATACAATTGCTTCTCTTGGTGAAACGTTGTGCCTTCTTTTAACAAAGAGATGAGTTATGCAATCTCCTTCCTCCTCTTCTGCTCTCTTCACTTCTCTCCAGCTCTCACTTGCCCTGCCGGGAAGTTCAGTGCATGTCCTGTCCCACTGAGGTCCTGCTCATTCTCACAGACTCCTCACCTGCTCCTGCGGCTTTTGTTCTCACAGGGCCAATGCAGTGGTTCTATTTCATCTGGGTCTTTTATTGTGGATTTAAATACTTCTGGCAACTGACAGAGCCCACGTTAGAAGAGATAGGTGGGTTTCCATTGAGTGAGACTTTTGTACAACCAGAAAGTGTATGAGATTTTTAAATGATCAAAGTCAAATTAGATTCACTTGGGAAGAAAGATTTTATTTAGAAAAACTAAATGCCAAGAATGCTGGGTTGGGAGCAGTGGGGGTTTGCTTCACACTCAAAGGCTCCCACACTGCTGCTTACACTCCACTGAGCAGTGGTTCTTCATAACTTTGCCTGCACATGGGGTGGTTTTAACTTGGACCAGGAAAGTAATTCCAAGGAAAACACATTGATTAACTCTTTAGGATTCCATGAGCCATGGATCAATCATGTCAGTGACCCTGCTATCACCCTGTGAAGCAAGCACAGAGCAGGAATGAGGTGCTTCTTGCCCAGGGAGAGAAGGTCAAATCACTTGCTTTGACTGCTGGTCAGTTGTCACCTATCCACTGAAAGCTTAGTAAGAAAGCATCTTAAAAAGACACAAATGTTGATGCCCCCCACATCTGCTCAGGCATTTGCAGGGACCTCCCCCAGCAGTATCTGTCCTTACCACCCAGAAGGGGCAGCACTGTTCCCAGATGGACTATCTAGCCATTCTGCTCCTGCTTGGCCAGGTCAGCCCTGTGAGCAGGACAGCCCTCAGGAGCCTGGCTTTCTCTGACTATGCTCTCCTAGGGGTCACCACCCACAGCCCCACCACAGGGCCAAGGGGCCAAGAGCAGGAAGCTCAGCCTGAACGACTCTATGGAGTATTGAGTCTCACAGATTTGTCATTCAGTGCACAGCTTCTCTCTGCACAGCCCACACAACTAATCCCTGCACTATATTTCTCTCAGTTTTTCCTCCTCCACCCACACTGCTGCCAACTCCTCTCTGCAAGGAGAGGCAGAGCAGCTGAGGAAACAGCAGAGCAGTGGAAATTTTCTGAAAGTGTTCTGAGCCCATCCAACCTGAGGATAGCATTCAAAGAAAAACAGGAAGAGGGTAAGTAGGAGCTCCCTCAGCCCAGCACACAAACCAGGATTGTCACTCCCACCCACCTTCAGTCCCAATAGGAGCTGAGACCAAGTCTCAGTGCCCACATACAAAGACATGCAAATGTCTGTGAAGATTATGGGAGGAAGGCAGTTGCTCAGCTATTTCAGACACTGTGTTACAAAACTTGAGACCACAGTAGGTCAGTTCCCTTCCAACACCCACCATGAAGAGTTCAACCAACATCTTCAGCCTTAAATTGGAATATCTAACGGTCAGCAAACTGGGAGAACAAATGCATGTCTGAAGACGGATGTGATTGGTTGTGGCCAACAAAATTTAAGTCCCCAATCTATGGGACAATCAATGCCCTCCTCCTCAACTGCATGTGTGAATAAGTGTGTAAATGTGATGTTTAATATTACTCACACCCCCCCCCTTTATTTCCCTTCCTTTCAAATTGTCTTCCTACGCCAAACCTCTCCCCCGCTCCGCCCCACCTCCAGATAGAGATTCTACCCAGTTAGATTCCTTGCAGTGGACAAAGACAAAAGGCACGTAATAGACTTTTATTGAGTATCTACACAGGTAAGCTCCCCATACCAACTTTATGGTCACAGCGCCATGGAACTGAGCCACATCTAAAAGAAGCAATCTCTGATCTGCTTTATTGCCCTACAGTGCCCTCAGGACCTATATTATTGGTCCTAGTTGAGGATAAGATCTTCACAGAACCCAGAACTTTTGTAAAGGTTGTATGACCTATGGATAAACAGGAGTATAAATGTTCTTCTCTCTAAGGGGTCTGTAGAGATGTTTCCAACCACAGATTCATACTGTCTATCTGTTAAGTGTCTGAGCACTAAAATTAACATATATGCCATTCTTCCTTACCACATTGGCACAATTTATTTTCTGAGATTTTATTCAAAGTTGGTATGACTTTTCTTGTGTATTTGATACTAATTGGCACTCATTCAAGTGACACATATTCAGTGTAACCACCGTATGTCAGGTGCTGTCTCAGGCACTGATATAAGGATCCCACCAGCAACCAACAAATGCACAGGATCAGACAAATCTTGCTGTTCTTCCCAAGAGGGAGAAGCTTTAATGATTGGCTGTTGTGTGAAAGAGCAAAGTAACAAATGTGGTTCACATATGATGAAAAAAAGTGGAAATTGTTTCCATTTGTTGACTAGAAGGACTCAAATTTTGTGTTTTTTTAAAATCAGGTTTTCCACAGCTGATATCTTACCAAACTATATAGAATGCAGATAAATGATTAATGTATTAGAGAATTTTAAAATACCAGACCCTAAAAGAATGTTTTAAAGTTGGCTAAGAGAACCAGATTGGTGTGCTAAGAAGACTTAAGATACATGACCACTTCCAAAGAGCAGACTTTTCTCCCTCTTGAACTCTTGAATTAGAAAACCAAAATATACAAGTGGGCTTTGCAGTTTTACATCTCCAAGGCTAAGGATGATTTACATGACAGTCTACTGAGGCCAGTGAGACATTGAGGTTTGATGGGATGACAGATGGCACTGATAGGATGGATCAGAAATAGACTTGTCAGATAAACAGAGTAGTAATTCGGGTTCAAGAAAATTCTGCTTTCTCCAAACAGATATCTTCTGTCAGACTGAGCAGGGACCTAGAGACCAGAGACTCAGCCCTAGCTCTATGGACTGGACATGACCATTGTACTTCCCAGCCCTGAAGGGTCTCTGAGAACCTAGCTGGGAAGCAGTTCTATCTCCAACACTAGCCCACGCTATACCAACAAGACTCTGCATGTAGAGTTTTCCCTACACTGCTACCCTTGCTGGACTATTTCTACTTGATGACAAAGAACTTTTGTATTTTTTAACTCTACTATACTCTTCTACTTACTTGTTTTTCTATATGCTTTCTACAACAAAAAAATAAAAATGAACTCACAAGTGAAGTCTCAAATATAATAAACTAATGATAAGTTTTAGATTTCTGTAAGTCTCTTTTGGTTTTAATGAACTTGATAGATGGCCATTTTTTTCCCCTACAAATAAATAGAGACATCACTGGTCTTTGGCTTTGAGAGAGGAAATTGTTTAGAATGAATTATTGAAATCAAACAAACACTTCTCTTTTTAAAAAATAGTTTCAAAGGTCCCACAATGATCAGACAAAGGGAAAATATTACTTAAAGGTATTAAAATGATGGCTCGTTTGCTTTCCATAGCTGTGTTTTTCAAGGGACACAGTAACCCCCAGAGTCAGGCTGTTGTGGGTGTTGACTCAGCATAGAAATAGGATTTTCCAAGTAGCAGAAAGAATAAGAGAGACTTGGGTTCAAATTCTAACCCTAAACTCTCACACCACCCTCCCCAGGCCAAATCATGCATGCAACCTGAGATTAATTAATGGAGATCACTATGTATGTGTGTCTGTGTGCCATATATGCATGTAATCAGTACCCACATTACCCATGTATCCCTGGGGCACCCAGACTTCTGTTACACACATGCTCATTATTAGTGTCCTCCAACAGTTGGCACTATTCTAATATTAGTAAAAAAGTGCATAAAATATGAATAATCTGTCTAATGACTGAAGTTAAATATGCTTCATGGAATGCTCTACCATACTGAAATTTGCATACATTTTTCCCACCAGGGAGTTACTACTCTGTATTGTACTGCAGGTTTTATCCAAAGCTGAAGCTCACTGACAGACAGCAGTAGAGCTGCAGATCAAGTCACCAGCATCATGAGCTCGACTGTGCTTGTAAAATGCTCAGCAGGCAGATGCTCAGGGTTAGCTAGGGCCTGAGCTCTGTTCTCTCCATGGAGAGATGCTTACCTGAGGCCCTCGCCCTCTGGAGAGTGCTGTCTGCAGTACTCCAGAGTGTAGGACTCTGTGGCTTCTAGGTTGGCAGGCTGCCATCGGAGGGTGGCTGTGTTCCAACACACAGTGCAGTCCTCAGCCCGAAACACAGGAGTGGAGGGAGCTGCAGAGAAAGAAGTAAGTCTGTCATGAAGCAATGCCAAGCAGGCTTCTCTGGCACCTGGAAAGAGTGCTTAGGCATGGTTTTATTTTTAATTTTTTATTAGAGAATTCATTCTGGGTTGAAAATCCAAAAGAGATTAAAATTTATATAGTTAAAAGTCTCTCTGCTTTCCAAATTATCAATTCTCACCCATCCTCCAATACCTTCTAACATTAGCCTCCTAAAAATCCCATCTGAGTATCTACACATTCACTGTGCAAGCAAACAAAAGGAAAGATTCTTGCCCTTCCCCCTCAAATAAAAGGGATCAAAGAGCCCAGCCTCATTAGGTCCTCAATGAAGAAAGTACCAAGGGCTAGAGGGCAGGAGTAAGCTAATATTTTCCCCTGAAGAAGCTGTAGCAATCTTTCAGGCAATGTAGGCTTGGTGATGCCATATCTCACTTCACCTAAGAAAACATTGCAACTAAAGAAGGCATTGCTACTGAGTGCTATGGCTTAAAAGTTCCGTGGGTCTCCTGGAAGCCAAAGCACAGCCTAGGATCCATACCGTACAAACACAGTGTCTTCATGCCAGCCTTTCTCACCTCATGTCTTTCTATGTTTCTAAGTCTAAGACCCTGTCCGCACCCTAGAGGTGTGCTCAAGACCGCAGAGGCAGACAGGCATAACAGTCTGTGCATATCTGGATCATGGCCCTTACCAAACATTCTTGTGGTCCTCTCTTTTTCTATCTCTCCCACTTGACTCTGAGCTTCTTGCAAATAAGTGCTCATTCTTACTCATTGTTGGGTACTCAGCACTTTGCCCAGCACCCAGAACACAGTAGATGCTTTGTATTTACTGGTTGACCTCAGGAGCCTGTAAAGAATTGAATATTGCCTCCTACTGCCCCCTTACTATTTCCTTACCTGTTCTAAAAATTGCCCTCTCACTGGGCAGGCTGCAGCCAGTAAAGTTCACGGCCATTACCCACACTTGATAGCATCGGTCAGGTTCCAAGTCCTCAAAAATGCAGTAGCTTTCTTTCACTGTCAGTCTATATTCTTCTATCAACTCTAGAATAAAGTGCAGTCAGAAACTCTAAGTCATCCTCCAAGGTTAAGTTATAGTTACTGAAAAAAAGAACTGGGTATGATTTTTTAAGTGGAATATCTAAATTAATAGCCTTATAGATATCATTATGTGATAACTCACTCTTTAGAATATATAAGGAAATAGAAGAAGAGATATTTAGAATGATGTAGTACTATTTGTAAGCACTTATTAGAAAATAATAACATATTAGTAATATTTTGAGTTTCATACACAAGTAAAGTGACATTTCAATAGCAGTTATTAAAATTATCTAGTTTTTTAGCTTAAATCTTAGTAATATGTCCTCAAGAAAATTATTAATAATTTAATGGGTATTAAACTGTTTTAAGAAACAACTTTGTCCAATCAAGACATCTTCCTTTTAAATTTTCTTAAATTATTTTCACTACTTTTTCTTTTTTAGTAAATATTACTCAGTACCATTCTGAAAAAAGAACACCATTCTGAGTGTGTGCCCATGGAGCCAATCTGATTATTATTACTGGAATTCTCTCATTGGCTATGGATATAGTTTGGTGGTGGAGTGCTTGCTTAGCACCATGAGGCTCTGGGTTTAATTCCCAGTACTGCAAATAGTCATAATAATAATAATAATAATAATAATAATAATAATAACAGCAACAACAATATTGTTTTTGAAATTAGCCTATGGTAATTTTGGATATCATCCTTTGTTACTCCTGAGTGTCATATCTTTAAAATTCGCCCAAATAAGGAGGTTAGGAGTGTAACTCAGTGGTAACTCACAGTCTGCATGAATCCCTGCATAGAAAAAAAAGAGCTTCCAATAAAAAATCCGGATTGATTTCTATAAGAAGAATTAGGAGTTTTTTAACTTAGCAGTTCTCTTCAATTAACTCTCTTTTCCAATAAGCTATAAGAAATAGTCCAGATAGATGGTTCAGCTTAAAGAATATGCTAAGGATGAACGTGTCCCCCATGCCCTAATCTCCACCTCACTGGACTGGTCCCTTGGGTACTGGGAATGGTGTCCTGATGCATACGACTACATGCCTTCTCCACCTGGCACCACTTCAGTCACAGCCTCAGACTCATCCACAAAATCCAAAGCACTGAGCCAGTGAGACTGGTGCTGGAGGACTCTAACCCAGCACATGAAGGACTCTAACGTAGACCTGGTGCAGCACCCCTGTCATCCAGCTACTCGGGAAGCTGAGGCAAAAGGACCACAGATTCAAAGCCAGCCTCGGCAACTAAATGAGACCCTGTGTTAAGGTTAAAAGTAAAAAGGGGCAGGGTTGTAGCCCAGTGGGATAGCCTATGCCTAGCAAGGCCTTGGGTTCAGTCTCCCAGACCACACACACAAAGCACCCCACCCCAGAGCTATTAAGAGAAGTCTTAAAGCAGCAGAGAGTTTCATGACACAGTTATTGAAGGCTACTGAAAGAAATAAAGTGTGGTATAAAAAAATAAATAGATGAACAAACATAATCTGCGCTTGTGAGTCTGAAAGATCTGTGTTTGAATCCTGTCCCCATTGCAAACGAGTTGTGTGATCTTGGACAAACTATGTGACCTCCTGTCCTTCTCATTTGCTAAGGGGACATAACACTGTTGCACTGTGACAGAGATATGGTGACAAATCCTCATTACATAGGCCTTTCCTGCCTATTTTACCCTACTCCTGGGGCAGAATGGGGGAAGGCAAAGCTGGCTGTGGGGAGTGGGCAGGACCAGTCAGTTACAGGAGGCCAGGAGACGGGCACACTCCAGGAAGAGCTTGCTGGAGTGCCTCTTGATGTCAGCCGCCGTACGTTCCCCAGTGTGGACTTTTATTTTTGTTTTTAATTTTTCCTCTTTTGTCAGGCCCAAGTTGCCTGACAGGGTCAGTTTCTCCCTTACCCTCCACTGTCACTTTTTCAAATGAATTTTGTCAACACTCTTGTCCTGTTCAGTCCTTTGGTGGAGACGAGTAGGGCCTGGCGACTGAAAGGCAAGCATCCCAAAAACCTGATATCTTTATCTGGTGAGCCATTGCTAAAAGAAGCTTCCCAATTTCATACCTACAGTTGCTTTTGCCTTGTCTGTACTTTTTTCTAAATTAATTCACACACTGCATTTCAAAAGACTTAGCTTAGCAACAGGGCTGCACCAAAATTATTGGGAGTACACTGCCCAGTGTACAGCTCATCTCTCCTCCACAAAGTGTGATACAATACATTCATCTTTCAGATATCAGTGCTGATTAAAACTTTGTTCTTTGACATTCTGGAATGTACTGCATGCTGTCTTTGATACTCAGTGAAAACCAGAATCCTGTTTTTCTGAGACCTTGTAGTCAAATTCAAACCTGTTATCGTATTCACACTGACCCTTATGATGATATTTGTGTTTTTCTTTTCCTCCATCTTGACTTCCAAGGACTACTCTGCTGTTTTGATTTCACTATGTAGTTGAGCTTTTGTCATTTTATAAGTGGTTGTAAATGTCTTTGTAAAAAGAATCTATACATATATCTATACATATACTATCCATATATCTAAATACTTCACATTCAGATGCAAACACATCCACTTGCATCTGTATTTGCGTTAGCAAACCTACCATTTACTTCTTGGTTGTCCTGTGGCTCCTCCATGCAGTAAACCTGGAAGGAATCAGCAACATCTTCTCTGTTCATGCTCCAGTAAACTGCAATCGTTGTACTTGTGGCTGAATTTGGTTCCTGAGGTTCTAGCCTCGGAGGCTGTGGAACTGGAATATGAGCGTCATTCACTATAACTAATGCTGCTGCTATTCACTGGTTGTTTTGCAAAAGTTAAACTTGCTAGAACACAATTCAAACAACACAAAAAATATATGGAGTAAAAGTACAAGATCTTCACTTCCAGTCCCAACCCTAGTTTCCTTCTTTGGATGTGATTATCATTGTGGTTGTATGTGCATTTTATACGTGCACAAATTATACAAGTAGAAATAAAGAGAAAAGGTTCCCAATTGGGATCACTGAATAGCACTCTTCTGTAGTCCTATACTTACAATAATAAATTTATAGAGGTTAGAGGATGTATCAAATGACTTGGTTGTCCTTCAAAACAAGATGTAATCTTTTCATCCTGCTTTGCTAGATCATTGCGGTACTGTCATATATCGATATAGAGCCTATGTGGTATTGACAATAGAGACCAATGAAACCCTTTTAAGATATAGTTGCAACATCAAAATTGGAAAAGATTTTCTAATGAATCATTATGAGACATTAAAATACAATTAAACATTAAACATTAACATTAAAATATACTTTCTGAAACTACTATTTAATTTTCTCTTTTCAACATGACTAAGCCTCTCTTTCTCTTTTTTTTTTTTTTTTTGCGGTACTGGGGATTGAATTCATGACCTCGTGCTTGCCAGACAGGCACTTATGGTGTCTTTCTCTCTCTCCCTCTCTCTCTCTCTCTCTCTCTCTCTCTCTCTCTCTCTCTCTCTCTGTCTCTCTCTCTCTCTGTCTCTCTGTCTCTCTCTGTCTCTGTCTCTATCTCTCTCTCGCTCTCTCTGTCTCTCTCTGTCTCTCTGTCTCTCTCTCCTTCTCTCTCTCTCTCTCTCTGTCTCTCTCTGTCTCTCTGTCTCTCTGTCTCTCTCTCTCTCTCTCTCTCTCTCTCTCTCTCTCTCTTAACAGGGAATACCCTATTAAATGAATTAGATGTAAGTTTTAGATATCTAGTATTGTAACAAAAAATGGCCACCTCAGCCAGTATATTTCAGTTTTTTTAGTTGCCCAGGCGACAGTTCCTGTTGTAGTTCTGGTTGCTTCTGTCTCCTAGAAACAGCTGGTCACTATGATGCATATTGTAAGAACCAATCAAAGACAGTCCAGTACACTGCCTCTGTACTTCCCCTTTGCAGTCCCATAAAAATCTCCCTTCCTGAGCCTGATATTTTGGAAATGATCCCAATCAGTGCCCATCGACATAAAATAAATCTGCCTCTAAGTCTTGGGCATCATTTTAGCACTTCTGCTTGCCATTGCAGTATAAGAATTGTGCTGCTCTGAATTTTAAAGGTAATAATGTTCTCAAAATGTTTTACTAGGGGTTTTTAGTTTATAATTGTACATACTGAACAATAATGTGATATATAACAACACAAATCAAGCTCTGTGCAATTTTCTTCCAAAATTCATGACACAAAGTCACTGAATATATTTTATAAATTAAAGAAAAAGGTTATTCCTACATTTAAGAAGATGTCATGCTTTTACATTTTTTTGCGTGTGGTTATTTTTTCCTCAGTCAGCAATTTCCTGAGAGATACTGTAAGCTTACTGAAATAAATACGGGCCACATTTAATGAGATAATTTTATTCAATGTTGAGGGGGGGAACCAAATTTAGTCAGACAAGAAACTAAACAATGAGAAAGAAATGGATCTAAAGAATGAAACAAAAAGAGACATATTGACAAAATTCAATTGAGATTTTAAAAAGTTGAAAAAATACATCTCTGAAAAACAAGAAGTGGGATAGGAGGGTGGTCTTATTCACAAACTTCAGATCAGACAGGCCAGCCCAAGCTTCAGTTACTAGCTGTATTATCTTTACAGTTGGTACAGAGTAAACAATGACATATTACTTCCTAGGGTTGTTAGGAAAAGCAGGGTAATACATATCAAGTGCTTCACATGTAATGGTGGGAACATTCAGGAGAAATGGCACTGGCAGCAAGTGGAGAGGAGGGGCAGGAGCCTCCCAGAGGTGCAGCTGATCGAGGGACCCACATCTGGCAGATTGCAGAGGCCACAAAGGAGAAACCGGCAAGCAGGCCCTGCGCAGCCTTTGACTTCATCTTCCCTGCAGAATATGAGCGCCACCATCTAAGGAGTCCAGGCAGGTGGGTGAGGCTTAGCAAATTTTCTTTTTCTTTTCTTTCTTTTTGAGGCTCAGTAAATTTTAATATGAAAATCAACCAAGAATGTTTCAACCATTGTTGGTAGTTGTTGGAGCAGTGTCAAAGAATTCCTTAAGCCAAAAAAAATGTTCTCTTTGTTTTCTCCTATAAATTGTATATTGAGTTGTGTCTGGTTTTTAAACAATGGTGTTCTGTCTCTCTCTTCACCCTCTCACACAAAACTTAACAAACTAAAGGTTCATAATTGACCTGCCCTATCACTAAATATTAAGAATCAGATGCAGGCAGTTAAGTAAAACACGTATTCTAAACATAATTTTGTTCCTAACATACTCCTTCCTCTCAAAGAATTAAACACACCTTTTCCAAAACCTGGAAGTGCTTTCTCTTTGAAGTATCCTAAAAACAAACAAGGTACAAATATAGTCCATGGAGATACCCTAAACAACGGAGGCTGGGTTTGTAATTCCTGTGTAGCAGAACATCATAGGCCCAGATTTTATGCGTTAGTGACTCCGTTTACACATCTTAGTGACAAACTTGAATAAGTGTGATGTCAAAAGAAAGAAAAGGTCACTTAGAAGTCCTTGCTCGAGGGAGAGATATGGGTGGAGAGGTCCTCCATGAATACCCCATGTGAATCTACTGAGTAATGCCCAAGAGTTGTCATACTCAGAGAGAAGTCTAGCTACCAATCTAGCTGTCAAAAAGGCCTCAGGAGAACATTATTCAAAAAGACCAAGAATTAGAAGCAACAACCCTAACCCTAACCCTAATCCTAAATTGTGTAAGTCAGGGGATAAGTGAGTGGTATATACATTCAAAAAAAGAGGACACATTCTTTAGTCCTAAAAAGGAAGGAAATTCTGCCACATGCTACAACATCAACAAACTCTGAGAACTCTTGTACTCTAAGAAAACAGCTTCGTTATATGTGTATTATAACAAAACCTGAAACACGGCTTATGTATGTGTTTTCCTTTTCCCTTTGGATGACCTAGTTGATATGTTAAGCAGTGCTCTCCTCTGTAAAGAATTCTAAAACCTTACCTAATTGATATGTTAACTATTGTTGCCCTCTACATAACAGAAGTTGTGCTAAAACGAGCTAACAAGGGTTGTTAATCACTGTTAGGTGCCTCTATTCTCTGCTAAAGAGGTAAAGAAAACTAGGATGGCCCTCTAATTCACACTTGTTTGAAGTAACTTGCTTGTGTGCAGGGAGATTTGCTTATTAGCATAACCCTTTACCTGACTTTGATCGCCCTCCTCAGAAAGAAAGAAAAACATAACCGCCGTTTTCTGTTCTGTATGGCACCTTATTGCCTCCCTCTCCCCTTACCTATCTATCTAGGCTAGGCCATAAAGATTTTGGGTTTCTGGTGGCCTCTTCCTGACCCGGTGGTGGTCTGTCATAAAATGTACCTTAGCTTCAGAGAAATTACAAGAAAATGTTGTGGCTTAACCCTAATGCACCAAAAGGGTTAAGTTCCAAATCCTTATGAAGGCTTAAGTTTCAGCTTCTTGTAACTTTGACCCCTTCCCACCTGTTAGTGTTAATGAGCTGTCTTGACAAAATTAGCTTTCTACTTTCTTCTGCAAATGCTATTGCAGATAATTCTTATCTGCAGGATGGGAGTAACTCAGAAGGCGCCAGAGACTCCCGAGGTTGTCAGAACTAAGTGGACAGCTATACAGTTTCCAGATTTGGGTCAACAAGTTTGATGGCTCTGCAGGTTTCTTTGTGGCCCCCCCCCCCCCGCTTTTCTTCCAGCCTCTTTTTAAAGTCCTCCCTTCAGTCTCTGGCTCGCAGTCTCCAAATTGGCTCCCAGAGACTCGTCACCAGGCCTGGAAATAAAGCCCTTGCTTCCAAAATCTCAGTCTCTTGCTTCCTTGGATTTTTATACCGGGGTCCGAGTTATTACAAGAACAATATGCTAAGTGAAATTAGACAGTTACAAAGAGAAAAGTAATCTATGGTTTCACTTCTAGTAAATAAGAGAGTAGCTGAATTCATAGAAAGGAGAATGCTGATTTCTAGGCTGGGGGGAGGAGGTGGGGAACAGACAGGTACTGTTTAATGGGGACAGAGCATCAGTTTTGAAGATGGGGCACTCTGGACATAGATGGTGGTAACAGTTGCACAGCAGTATTGGTGGACTCAATGCAACTGACTTGCATAAGTTAAAATGGCTAAGACGCTACTGTGTTGTATATTTCACTACAGATTTTTTTTAAAGAATCTCTAGAAGCTAGAGTCAAAGAAGTCCAGCTACCACTAAGCCACATTTACCTCATCTTCCGTAATAGTGTGCCCCCACTTGTTAGAAGACAAAGGACTTAAAGTCAACTCCCAATGTTTCTTCCTATAGAAATGAAATGTAACTGTCAGTTTAAACACTACTGCCATCTTTAATTAATTTTGGAAGAACACAGCATCTTTTCAAGAGGACAGGTGAGCCTTCTGTACAGTAAGTAAAACTTGGCAACTTGAAACATGGCAGTTTTAAAAAAATCTAAGTAAGTTCTATTGTTTGTGAAAATAGCACATTAAAAACCATTTTGCAGAACTAGTAGATCGCCTCTGGCAGCTGAGTGGGAGGCTGCTGCCACACACCACAGTGCTGCCCTGTTAGTGCACCACGCTGACCCATTTGGTTTGAGAAAAGGGAAAAGAGTTGACATGCACTCACCAGGAAAAATCAATTCAACACCATGGAATTATCTGATCCCTCTTTCCTTCTATAGCTGGCTGAAGACAGAAATAATAATTCTTCCATACAGAGAGAAAAGCAAGATCTCACTTTGAAAAACCAGAGATGGGATGGGGTGCAGGAAGGGGCCTCTGGTCCCACAGGGATTTGCTCTGGTCCCTCCGAACCCAACACAGCCACGAAGCTCCAGCCAAAAACCCAGTCTGTGATGGGATGCTGACCTCAGGCTTTCAAGTTTTACCACCAGCCTTTTCCTTCTTCCAAATATAGAAATTTTATTAAAAAAAAAAAAAAAGCACAAGCTGCCAAATTTCATCAAGGTAATGAACAAATTAAAATGCTCACCAGTGACTTGCTTTAACATCTGGTCACTTTGGGCTGAGGCGTCGTCATAATGTTCAAACAACGAGAAGGCGGCCGGCATGTGCTCCAGCGAAGCTGTGCTCGCCACGGCAGAGAGCAACCTAGGGGAGCAGACTGCAGTGAGTCAGAGAGAACAGCACAGCCAAATCCAGGAGCCACTTCCCAAAAGGAAGCCAGTCTCAGTGGCAGTGGTTTTTATGGTTTTTATGATTGATACCCACACCACCAGAAAGAATACAGCTGTACTGGGAGTCTGAAAATAGTTTGTCTAATGTCTAATGTCCTAGGCCATTGGTAATATTAAAAATTTCATTTCTGTAGCCTCAGACTTGAAAACAGCTTAATAAATTATGCAGCATTAAACTTTTTTCTATAAAATAAGTTCTTAAAAAAGTATTTCAATGACTCTGATTTTTTTTTTTCTAGAAGATTTATATTTTCAGAGCTCATTGGGAGATTCACACACTGTAGGAGGTTCTCACACTCAACCCCAAGCCTCTGGTCATTTCATTCTCCCCAAAATAGCCCAGCACTGGGCCAGGGTTAAGGTTATATCAGCATAAGAGGGCAAAGCCTACCATCCTTAAAAAGACTAAAAAAGCCACAATTTATACATTAATAGCTTTTAGAATTCAAGCCTCTCCTAGGGGGAGTACCAACGGATGCTCTTAACATTTGTATTGAAGGGAAATATGGATTTTTAAAAAAAGGTGAGGGAAAGAGAAAAAGAGAGCATTTGCAAAGAATGAGTCTTTAGCACAGGCCTTGCAGGCAGGAAGCTTTTTCGTGTGTGCCACACAGGTACAGGACTCACTTCAGTAACTGAGTCAAGTTCAAGGAGCTGCCTGGCCTTCATTTCCAAGAGCCTATGACTCCAGAACAGGCCCACTGGGGCCTTGTAAGGTGCCCTGGAGCTACCTTCCTGCGCACTCACAGAGCTGCTTCCTTCACTCAGTGTATGAACGCTCTCTTGCAGGCTAACATGGCATACCCATCTCCTCCAGCTCTTATTCCACTTGGTTTTTCAAACTTATCATCAGCTATTTGATTTTTATATGTCCACTTCACCAGAATATAATTTACATGCAGGAAAGGAATTGCTTCATTCACTGCTGCATTGCAATGTAAATATTTGGCACATAGTAAGCATTTAATAAACATATTTTTTAATAAGAGGTCAATAGTGCCATCTGGCTAGGACATCGAGATCTCAGAGGTAGTAGATTTGGGGTCAGCATGAGAGGAGATGACTGAAGCACTTAAAGACAGTCTTCTGTTTCCTATTATTGGACACTGATGTATGGGAGATGGCTCCAATCAGGGATTCAAAAAGAAGACATTTGAGTTGGGTCTTAAAGAACATGTGAGTGGTTGCTAGGCAGGAAAGGGACAAGAGTATTATAGAGGGAAGGATAGCAGGAACAGAGCAGAGAAGGGAAGAGCCTGACCCCCTATAGGGCCAGAGGGCAGTGAGGACCACAGAGCTGGGCTCTTTCCCAGCTGTCTCTACTAGACAGTGAGCGATCAAATAGAAAAGTGGCTGTGGTCCCAACCATTAACAGCCTTTCAGACCTGCCAAGAACCTCCATTTATCTTTTAAAGCCAGGGGAGCTCAGAATTGTTTCTGCAAGAGGAGTGAAAAAGATCTCAGCAAGTATCTAAGAAAGCATCAAGCATGGACAAGATAGGCTGAGAAGCAAATGAGGTGTAAACTAAGGATCTGAGGTGCAGAAGTAGAAACAACAGAGTCAGAGTTAACAAAAAACAGTGAACAATAGATGCACTAAGTTCTCTCAATACACACCCTGCCTAAACGCAGGACTTTGTGTAGCACAAAAGCTCTGGCTGTGGATTCCACAAGTAAGAGGTTTGAGTGTTTCCCTTGTGCACTGCCTGCTCCATTTTCACATCAGCATATGAAAGGGCAAGAAGACATCTTTTTATAAGTAGGTCTGAAATGGTTGAAATTCTTTTCATTATTATAATACAGAAAAGCAAAGTGGAGGGGGAATGCATCTCCTTAACAGAAGACTATTTTCTAAGCAAATGTGTTTTTCAAGATATGCAAATGTTGAGCTAAATATGCTTGACAGCATTCCTTAATTTAAGCATTTTTGGTGTCAGGCAAATCATTTAATATACAAGCACTGCCTTTAGAGATATAAAGAAAACGCAGCAAGGTCAAATAAACTAGATATTTAGCACTTACAGAAAGGAAATACCAATAACTCTGAGACATGGAGATAGACGTGCCTAGAGGACATGAAAGGACAGGTATGTGTGCACATGTGTGTGCATATATACATGTATGTGTGCACATCACATGTTAACAAAGGTTTCTTCAATTGCTTATATAGCTCAACAGCATAAGTGTTTGCCTGGAAAGCACAAGGTCATGAGTTCGATTCCTAGTACCAAAAAATAAATATAAAAATAAAAAGTAATTGCTCATATTTCTTCACCAAACCCTTGAATTTCATTCTTTCTTCTCTACAGAAAAATAATGGTTATCCCAAGTGTGTTCTCTTTATGTGACATGCAGCCTTAGTAAAGATTAATTTCCTGTCAACTGGACAAGGAAATACAATGCATTAAAACAAGACACTGACAAATTTAAGCATACAACCAAAGAAATGCCATTTAGTATTAAATGGTTGCCAATTAGTACTAGCAGTATTCTAATACTTACACAAATAAAAACATTCTAGAGCATTTTAAGGTAAAAATATTCACAAATTTTTATGTATCCCTTTTTTTAAACCAACCATTATCTTCCTTGAATTGTTGAAGCATAAATAATCAAACAGACACCTACAATATCCAGTATATATGGAATGACACTATAAAGCCATACTTTTTAATAGGAAAGACAATAATAGTTAGGAAATCAAGAGCAAGGTCTTGGTATCAGCTTCAAGACCTGCGTAGTGCATCTGAGACTCAGTGCTCTGGGGAACTGAACACATGCATATGCTAGGTACTACCCTGGAAACTCCAGTATAGCAGCTCCTGGGGCCCAGCTCTTTGGTTAAACAAACTTCAGATGAGTTAGGCACAGACACTGTGAGGAGCCACTGGGCAGAGGACAGAGTGCTATGTACCAGAGGTTCCCGAGCCAGGCTGCGAATTAGAATTATCTGGAAAGTTTTAAAGATTATACTTTAGACCAATTAAAGTAGAAGCTCAAAAGATGAGATTTAGGTATCAATATTTTTTAAAGCTCCTCAGGTAGTTCTATTTATATAAAACTCTTCTTGATTGACATAAATATTAATACACAAACTATTTTCATAAAAGGTATTGACAATATTCTGTTGAATAGAATTTTCTAGAATTCATCTGAGTGATTTCAATTATGTAAAAAAGATTTGGTTTCCAAACCAAATCCATTTTTATATATCTTAATACATCACACATACAAATTTCTGGTTTTACTCCGGGCAATTTCACAGTTTGAACTGGTATGGAAATAAATTGAAGATAATATTTACAATGTATAAATTCACATTTAAAGTCACACATTAAAAAGCTTAAACATTAGGTTCAACCTATAGAAAAGGCCTCATTTTTTGCAAGGGGACAAAAGAGAAAAGGAGTTGGATCAGTGTAAGTATTTCCACATCAAGTGCTTCAAGAACTGAACATGGGCTTGGTCGTAGGTTGGTCGTAGCCTAGGGTTAGGGAGGGCATTTGCCCAGCATGAGGGAAGCCTGGGGTTTGAGTCCCAGCATCACACATGAAAAAGAAAGAAAGAGAGAAAGAGAGAAAGAGAGAGAGAGAGACAGAGAGAGAGAGAGAGAGAAAGAAAAAACATGTCTATATTTTTCTAATAATTTTCTAATTTCTTGTTCAATGTTTTTCTTTTCTAAAGAATAAAGAATCTCTTAGATTGAGTATTAAACATTCACAGAACAAAATCAAGAGTAAGACTCCTGGTTAGCTGAGCACAAAGAGAAGATAAATGAGCGACTATGTTTTGAAGACAGGTGAGGGAGCATGCTATTAAGATTATAGAAGCCGTAAGCTTACCGTAGGCAGATACAGATGATTCCTTCAAATACTCATATTTAACCAATAAATCCAAGTTGTGTACAAAATTTTGTCTGCAGTGAGGGAAAGATTATCTAGATAATGCTTTGAAGATATAGAATGCATCTCAAGGAAGCAGTTAAAAATCTACATTATGATGTTATGTTATTTAGCTAAAGCCCATGCAATTTGCTTTTCAAGCTGCCATTTAGGTTTTAAAGTTGCTGTGTCTAACAGTGAAAGCCCAGTAACTCCTTAAATTTTTAATTGGCAGATCATTTTCTACAAAGCATCAATAGATAAAAATAAAGCATCCACTCATGCTATAGTCCCAGTAGCCACTACATTGTGCATGTCTTATATACTATACCTTTCATTGATTTCCTCAAATGACTTGTAGGGGAAGATGAAAGAGGAGAGAGAGAGAGAGAGAGAGAGAGAGAGAGAGAGAGAGAGAGAGAGAGAGAGAGATTAACAAAAAAGGAAAACTAACCAAGAGCTTTAAGACCACAAAGTCGGAAACAGTCTCCCTCCCCTTCCCTGGAGCCCTGGGAAATGCAAGCTTCAGCCCATGATGCCACCCACCAGCCCCATGGTCAGAGCTGAGGGGCTTCAGTTCTCAGTGTCTCCATTCTCCAATAGATCAGTGAGGATGACAATGGGTTGTTTGTACTCTGCTTCTATTTATTAACAAATGGCTTAGCCTCCAGAATAGATTTCTCTGAGGCAAGAAAAATGACTTAAATTTGCTTAAATATATATATAAGTGTGAGTCAGTGGTTATCTCTGAAGAGTCACACCTTCTCAGTGCTTTCTTGTATTTTCTAATTTTTCTAGAATGACCATACAAAAATAGGGAAAATGTTATTTCAATTTGTAAATTCTAGAGAACAAGAAATATTCTTATCAAACAAATACAAGATTCTTGGGGAACACAAGCACCTTAATAATGCTGTCCTTCACAAGGGGTGCTTGATTTAAAAAGGCTGAAGCTCTGCCTTAATGAAACATGAAGCAAGCTAGTGATTGAGGCCAAGATCTCCCTGATGTGGCCAACTTGCCCAGCTGGCTAGGGATCTTCTACACAGAGATCATCCATCGAAAGGTGGTGCCATGCCCAGTTTGATCAGAATACTTGGAAATGCCCTCTGGGAACCCGGCTCCTTGCTCCCTGGTTAATCCTAGTTCTGTGGAAAGCCAGCATCTGCCTGAAGTTCTTGAGAATTGTGAGGCTTAGAGATCTGACCCTGGAACAGCTAAAGCACATCCAAAGGAATCTCCCATCCAAACTGCTTGCAGGAATTAGGGTAGGAATTAGGGCAGGAATCTAGGTAGCCACTTGGAGAAATGCCACCACATTACCTGAGAGAGGACATCCTTTTGCATGGAAAAGTGACAGAAAAATGTTTCTGTCAGCTTTGGCCAGTGTCTGATAGAATGGCTAATATGAGAGGCCACCTCAGACTCCAAGGTAGAGAGGAGAGACCCAGCGGCTAGCGAGAGGATGCCAGAACCAGGAGACAGGGTGGCAGGGATAAGATTGGAAGGCTGTCTCCATTTCCTTTTAGACGAATCCTCGTCCTGTGTGACATGGCCTAACTCCATGAATCTGTCAGCTAGGTCTGGGCATTGGGATTTCAGGATTTGTGGGGAAGTTTCTGTAGGTATCCTGAATGTACAAATAATTCTAAAATGCCCGAATTATACAAACTGCACACTGAAATCAAAATAATTTTGAGGATTGTTGAGAGATGGCATTTGAAATTAGATCTATAGCAGAGCAGGTACCTGTCACACCTGGCACTTACCATCAGGAAGACTGTCTCATCGAGTTCCTCAGCCTCCCTCACAATGGCCTCCAGAGTGTCCTTGGCAGTGTCCATGCTCTGCAGAAAGCGAACCATCTGCTCATGCAGGAACTCCATCTTCTTCTTCTTCACTTCCTCAAAACTCTGGGTTTTCTCATCGTACTGTGCCAAGACTTTCTTCATCATTTCCTCATTCTGTTCTTCTAACTGCTTCTCATTTTTGGTACAGTTTTCCTAGGAGGAGAAACAAAAACACTCCTGAATGAAGTAAGAAGTATATCTCTTTTCTCCCCCTCTTACTCCTCCTCTTCTTTTTCTTTTAAAGAACTGACATCTGGTAGCTCAATAAGAAAATCAGAATTTTAGATTTTTAGACTGTGCACTTCATATTTAATTAATATTACATTTTTGGCCTACCAAACACCTTTGCTATAATTAGCTTTGCAATAGAACGAGTTGCAGGAGTACCATCCAGAAATTTTTAAATACTGAAACATAAAAATGAGGGGAGGGGCATTTGTATGGAAGTCTTATCTGGCTGCATTCCCATGCAATAAAACTTCAAAATGGTATTGTAGCCAACAAGAATCCAACGCTGCCAGGTGTTGGTAGGGGTTGCTGCTATTTCCTACACTCCTGTAAAATCAGTGTGAGGGAGGAAGGTGCCAGGATATTGAGCAAGATCCTAGGTTCCCAAATGTTCTCCAGGAAGGGGCAGTGTCTCCTTTTTTCTCCATTTGTAGAGCCCAATTTCTTGGGGCTTTCCTCATGAGCAGGGTTAGTGTTAAGGTGGCATATAGTTTTACTCTCTAAAAGTTATCTTTCCATAGTTAATACTACATTGTTTCTCTGGTGTGAGAAACCAAAAATGTATAATAGGTACTGTGAAACAGGGGGAAAATGTTCAAATAGGGAAGGGAACGAGGGAGAAGGCAAGGGGAAAGGAAGGAAGGGAAATGTTTTTAAAAATGAGAAAAGAAGGAAAACATGGAAACAAAGCTTTGTAATGGGAAGTGAGGAAGGGTTGAAGGGAGGATAAGGGAAGGGGGAGAAACCCAAGTTATATCATGTACAGATGCAAATTCTCTGTGATGAATGTGATCATTATGTATATAAAAATATACTAATAAATATAATTAAAAACAAAGAAGTGAAAGCGATCCTTTGGCCCCGGCCCTCTGGCATCCTTGACTGAGGGGAGATGAGGGCCGTCTCTGCCCAGATGCGGACATCACTGCTCATTCCCCCACTGTGCGGGGTACATGGCAGAAGCAGCAGTGGAGAGGGAGGGAGATTCTGAGATCAGCTGCACCACAAGAGCTGCTCGCGGGCCTGGGCTTGGTCCTGGCAGTACCTGTGAGCATCTCGGCAGGGGTAACCCAGGGAGAGCTGGAAAAGCAAAACCATGTTCAGAACCTGAAGTCTCCGTTGTCAGTTACTAAATGAAAGTGATAACACCTATCTCATATGGCTGTGAACTAGATTTGGCAAAGCAAGTAAAACCCTGGCTGGAGTAAGTATAAATGATCAAGGGTCTGTTGTGACAGGCAAACCCTTTGTCATTAGACAGAAAGCAGAATCCAAGCAAGACACTAAGTGCTAACTCTGAAGGGAAAAAAAACAGCAATGGGGAGCAGAACACACCTGTGTATGTGCACACACACACACACACACACACACACACACACACTGATTCTTTTAGCTCAGAATCCTTTACTTATAATAAGAAAAAGGGATTATGTTAACTTACCTCAATGGTATTAAAAAATGATTCAATCTCACTAACAAAAGCCTCAATCTTCAAGGATTTTTCTTGTAAATTTTCAAGAAATTCTGCTAATTGAACCTGCAGAAAAGAATTACAACACCCTCAATACATAACACTTGGGAAAAGAGCAGTGACTCCAATTTCCTTGTAAGTCTGATGTATGTGGAAGAAATCTTGTATATTATATTCTACTAACAAATCTTTGAATTATTCCTGCTGCTTCAGCTACATTGATTATACATAATTTTATATGATAAACAACTAAGAGGATTGGGAGTGACGGCCTCAAAGTAACTGCAGAAAGACAGTTGTATACAAGATACCTAAAATGTTAATAAAGAGGAAAATAAATAATAGATAATAGGAAACAGGAAGATAGATTTTTAGCAAGCTGGAAAGGGATCGAGAAATGGAAAGAGGGTTGAAGGAGGAGAGCAGAAGGGGACTCAAAAAGAATTGAAATGTGTTACGTACATTCACCAACCCCCTACGAGGAAAGCAATCATTACGTAGTGCAAACATGGATAAAAAAAACTGATTAAAAGAAGGAAAAAGTTTACCTTCTTATGCAAAACAATTGATTGCTAGGTACATTAGTGAGCTTATTTAAACGAGCTACAGATTTTAAATGAGCTCCTCAGTAATGCCTCGTTCTAAGAAAGCAGCCTCTCTACAACACTGGCCCACTACATCTAAGGTATCTGTACACAGTTTGTGGCCGGGGCCTCAGGTGCACAGGAAAGCCTGGCCATGCGAGGTGATGGACTCCAGCATACCAAATACTACAGACTATCTACCAAATGTACACAAATGTCCTGAAGACCTTCAACAAGTTAAAATACTCAACCAGAAAATGAACAGGGTGGTGAGGAAAGATGGCACCTAATTTAACCAGAGTTATCAACCTAGCAATAGTGTATCCTGCTAGAAACTTAACACATTCACTCATGACTCAGTTCCCATCACATGAGGAAGTATCTTCAGGATTTGTCCTCTAGTCCCTCGAGTCCCTGCTTTCAGAATCTTCCAACCCTAGCTGCCATGCTGCAGCTGCATCCTTTCCTCAGACACTCCTTACATGTGAGCCTTTGCCTGTGTATTCTCTAGTTCTACAATATTCTCCAGGCCTTTGACTGATAGAAAAGCTCTTGCATTTAAGGCTCAGCCAAGTTTTGAGCCTTAGAAACATCTTCCACAGTCCTCCCTGTCCACACTCAGCACTGATCTGGGGAACCTTATAAATCCATCCTTTTATTCTCTCTTGCTTCTTACTCTCATTATCAGCTCCACTCCTGACCTACACCAGGAGGTCAGTGTGCACTGAGAAGGAGGCAAAGGCATGAATAAAGAGAATACGAGCCATCAGGGTGAGGATGGTCTGGAGGAAAAGCAAAGACTTGGGTTACCTTAAACCCAGCCATCAGCCCTGAAGAGGCACAGGACACCACCGACAAGAAGCTAAGGAACTCTCAAGTCTCAATGTTTTTCAATTGATTTCCATTTTCTTAAAGTTGCTAATCAACTTCTACTCTTCACAATTATCTTAACGAAAGGAAGCAAGCAATCCTGGCTTCAGTCAACTGGTTTCCATTTTCTGCGCATACCATTTAGAAAAGAGCAAGAGGACAAAAAGAAAAGCTTTTAAGGCAGGAAATACTTCTATGTCTCACAAATATTAATGGACAGTTTTAGGCAGTTATTTTTTAATTTCCAAAACTCAGATACAAATAAAACATAAGGGAAGTTGGAAAATCCAATCATCTTTCAGCTAGTAATGTCCAGTAATGGTCCGTGACCCCACAGAACAGGTCCTCTTACCGAACCTCAAGCAACTGATACCTGAGGTTTCACAGATGTTTGCCTATGCCCTGCCCTGCCCTGCCCTGCCCCTAAATTTATTTTATTTTGAGACAGTCTTATTATGCAGTTCAGGCTGGGCTTGAGTTCACTATGTAGCCCAGGCTGGCTTCAAATTCAGAGTGATCCTCTTACCTCAGCCCCTCTAATCCAGGCATTACAGGTATGTGCTACCATGCCCAGTGCTCCCAAATGTTAACAGGTATAATTTCAACAAAATTTCACCAAGAGAAATGAAAACAACATCAGACAAGTTGAGAATGATTAATTTAGTAGGAAAAAATGCCAAGGCTCTAGTTTATATTATTTAATCAGAATAGCCTGACAGTTATTTAACAGTGACCAAACCGAATGATAATTTTAGGAATCACTACCATTAGCAAGGCGCTGAGCCATGCAATATAAATGCACATTGAAGATCATGAGTTCTGGCATTGGCAGACCTGAGACCAACCCCAGGCTGGCCTTCCATGACCAAGGCAAATCACTTACTCTCTGAGCTTATTTCATTATCTGCACATTGATGACATTGGCTTGACAGGGGTGTTAATGAGAATTAAAAGGCACTCTGTATATAAAGAACTTGACACATTTGCTGGCATAGAGTAAATGCTCAGTTCTTATTGATTGCTAATTTTCAAGGACAGCTTTGGTGCTGGTAGGGAAAGAGATTAAACAAGTAGGATCAGGAAACTAGTTAGAAGCTGGCTAAAAGGGTAGATGGGAAACTAAATGTTGGTTTCCAACAGTATTCCTAGGGAGGTGGAGAATTTATATCCACATACATAAGGATACGCTCAGTGACTAACTTTATATATAGTTTAGGATCTTATAAACACTGCCAGAGACAATGCAAAGACATTCCATTTATAACATAAATTTTATAAGAAAAAAAGCAAATACAGAGAAAATTAGAATTAAAAATCTTATTTGAAAAAATTCTGGAGTATTTTATGTCTTATAATAAAATTGCTCCATGTAATATATGTTATTATTTTAAAGAACAACACTACAGATGGCAGAAAATAAGTTGTATTTTATATTAAAAGGTATATTACTAAATCTAAAATTATATGATATTTTTATAATGTTAAGAGTCATTACTATAAGATGACAAGTTGCCCAAAGCCAGTGACCCTGTTTTATTTCTAAGTATCCCCCAGGATCTAGGAAAAATGCCCAACATGAAGTACATACTCAATAAATATTTGTCAAGTCAATCTCAACTAAATTCTTGGGGAAATAGTCTCAATTCACTTTTAGGCTATTCTCCATAAAGATGAATGAATCAAATATTGGTCATCTTTTTAAACTGAAAAAATATGAAAGTAAATTTATACATATATTGATTCAAAGTTAACTTGCCTTAACCGCACTGATAGCCATGTCAATTGTCGAAACCTCATGGTCTTTGTGGGTGCCAAACACCTTGTCCATTGTAGAAACTGGGCTTTTGCAGGTATAGCAATATGTGTCAATCTGGGACTTTTTCAGTTCCGTTTGTGCATTCTGAGTCACTAACTCTGATGGCAATTGGTCTTCTTCTGTCCTCCTGCCCAATACCTTCTGGTCAGCAGACAAATTCTGTTCTGCCGCAGGGAGAAATTCACATTTCCTGATGTGCTCAAAGGATTCCTTCCCTTGGGACAACACATCTTCACATGCAGCTTCTGAGTACAGCTCATCTGGTAAAGTGTCCTGACTAACCACTTCATAATTTAGGGATTCAGCAAACTCGTACTCATCCTGCACAGGGCTGTTTCTGAGTTGCTCTTTGCTGGGTGTGGGTGGGACCAGTAATTCAGGTTCTTCTCGTGGTGTTTCTGGAATATAAACTGCACCAGATGCAAAACCTTCTTCTGTGAAGGACACTTGTATTGGGACATTCTGACTGAGCTCCGGGCTTGTGTTTCCCTCCTCATGACCTTGACTGCTCACTTCAGCTATACTACCCTGAACATGGCAGCCATCATGAAATGGAACTGCATAGCTCACCTTCTGGGCAACCATACCAACCTCCTCAATGATGGGAGCCTTCCCCTGTACTGCTGAGTCATTAGAGGTCTCCATGTGGCCTACAGCTTCTCCTTCCCTGTAAACAGCCCTCTGTTCACCCAGACTCTTTTCCCAAAGAACAGTTCCAGATTTCCTCCAAATTTCCCCTTCTTCACCTATCAGTTGGTATGAATCATTCTTATCAACTGGTTCTTCTTCTAGACTTTGGCCTTGGTCCTTCTGCGCTATGGATGTGTCATGGAGAATGTCATCTCTGAGTGTATACTTCTCAAAATACATCCCTGTCCCATCATCAGTGTCAGAAGTTCTGATTGGAAATGATGCCTCAGAATTCACACTGTCACCTTCAAAAGCTGTCTCCTCTTCTTTTTTTTCCTCCCCAGTCACCTCATCATACAGATCCTTATACAAAAATGCAAGTGCAGGCGGCTCTTGCAGGAGTTCTGGATTAACAGCTTTGACAGTGGTGGGAAAGATCTGGGTTCTGGATAAAACCCCTTCCTCCGTATCAAATAAAGGCACCCCAGGCAGCCTGGGGACCACATCTCTATCTATGCTCTTTGCAGCATTTCCGCCAACTAATTTTTGAGTAACCAAAGGCTTTTGCATCCCTAACTGAGATAACTTGCTATGGTCCTCCTCTGGGCCATCTGCTAACTTCACCAGGTCGTAGGCATGTTCTGGAGCACTTCCCTGTGAACTTTCTGTGGTTCCCTTTGTGAGTGCCTCTTTCAGAGTTAGCTTCCATGGAGCTTTTTGTTTTTCTGGGTCTGGGGAGATGTTATAATCAATCAAAGTATATTTCTCAAAGTAATCCTCTTCAATGGGAATTGTGGGCTGCAGGAAAGCTGGACTGCCAGTGTCAGGGCCCATAGACAGCTCCTCTTTTGTAGCATGAGCTCCCTCTCCTTCATGCTCCTTCAGTGACACAACTTTGCTGTCAGAATCTTCTAACTCACTCTGTAACATTTTATGGCTAACAATCGCCTCACTGTCCTCATGAGGGGCTGTAGTTCTAAATGGAACTTTGTTTTCTAAATACTCTAACTTATCTTGCATTTGTTCACTTTCTTCTTGATCCACTGAAGGAATAAAGGCAGGTGCGTGAATATTCAATATCTCACAGCCTTCAGAAATGATGCTGAAGGCACTCTTCTGATCTTGTGAAATGCCAGCTGGTTTACTGGTCACTGTGGATTCTACATCTCTTGCATAAGTGTCTTCAGGGTCTTTTGCCAAAGCTGCCTGATCAGCTGTGCTTATTGATGCACTAATTATAAATCGAGCATAGTTGCTCCCTGTTGAAGAAACAGATTCATTTACATGAGCATCTTCCCTTATCTCCAAGGGGTGCTCTGAATCCAGAACACATGACTTCAATGTCTCAGATGGGTGATCTTCAGAAGTCTGAATAGTATGGACTATAGGATGACTTGGGGTCAATTCTGACCATGGCACTTCTTGTTTCTTCTCTGTGTTAACTTCTGGGCAAACTCCCGGAACAAGACTGTGTGGTTTTAGAGATGATGGTGAATGTGGCAGCATTTCTAAGCTCTTTGTGTCATCAGAAGAATGACCTATGGTCCATTCAGTGTCTTCAGATGGCCTCACACTTTCTTTTGTGATGGCTACTAAACCACCTGTGGACAGCTGTGACACTGTGAGTGGCCCTCTTTCCTCTCTGGGACCTGCTGTATCTCTGCTTAACTTTTCTAAAGCCAGGTTTTCTTCCAGAGGGAAAGGGTGTTTATCTATTTCATCATCGTAAGGAAGATTCCCTACGCACGCAGTCTTGGTTTTCTCCACAAAACTTCTACTTTCTTCTAACAGATGTGGTTGGCTTTCTACCAACTTTGCTTCCTTAATTTCTGGGTGAGCCTCTGAAGGCACACTTTCTAGTTTTTCAGTAATTGATATTGTTTTAATTAATGAAAATGGTTGTGTTCCACCCAAAATATGAAGAGAAGACATGACTGGCTCTTCAGGCATAAATCTGGCCTCATTCAGAGAATAAGGCTGATTTTCCTGCTCTTTTTTTTCTTCCAAAAATACCTGGGCCTGCTTTTCTTTTTCTTCTTGTTTCTCCTCTTCAGAACAAACAATAACTTTGGCTCTTTCTTTATGGTCTTCATTTGGATATATGTGCTGTCTCCTAGCAGCAACCTCCAATTCTTCTAATTTAACAGGTGTATGCTCCTGTGCCAACTGTGATTTCACTAGTTCTTTTTGTCCTCTAAGTTCTAAGGGTAACACCACTTCTTGTTTATCTTCCAGGTTATTTTTTCCTGCTGAGGTACATGATCCAGTTTCCAAGTTATCTTTCTGCTCCATTGGACTGAAAAGCCTGAGTTTTGCTTCCTCTTCAGAAAGTTTCAAGGAAGCAGGTTTGGGCATTTTGTTCTTTAATCTGTCCTTGCCAAGATCGATTAAAGTACCTTTTGATTCTTCTTCTGGCAAAATTATTGGCTCTGGATTCTTTAATTCCTTCATAGTATTTTTATTTGTGAAGTTGGATGAATCTGATTTTAGCTGTTGTGATACAGTATCTACTACTTCAGATGAAAATGATTTTTCTTTTTGATCACCACTTGTTCCTTCTTTAAGAATAGAAATATTCCAGTTAGATGGAGGAGGTATTGCCGGCTTCTGGTATCTTTTACTCTCAGTAACGTAAGAAGGAACATTTTTGGTTTCTTCTATAGCCAACTTCCTATCCTGTTGAATTCCAAGACATTCCTCACTATCGGCAGAAGTAACTAAGTGTATGCTCATTTTCTCTGAAGAGTCTGGGATTTCATTCTTCCTATAATCTTTACTAGACACCTCTGATAATGAATGATCATCTGGTTTCTTGGTTGCATTAAAATCAGCAGGAATTTTGCCTTCAGGCTCTATCACCATCTCTCCTTTTCTTACAGAGAGACTTTGCTGAATATCTACATCTTCTTTTTCTACAACTTTGTCATCTGAGGGGCTTGATCCAAAAAATAAACTGGACATCCAGGATTTGAAAGAGGAAAGTCCTTTTTTCCCCTTTTCCTCAGAAAGCCTTTGCTCAGCTGCCTTGGGCTTTTTGTACAGTTGTTGTGTGACTTCAGGGGTTTCTGGGAGTTCATGCTCTTCTATGGCCTGGATTGAGGGCGTTGATTTTGTTTGGGGAGGTATCTTCACTTCAAGAGCTGATTTCCTTCCCTCTGCAGCCTCATCTATAATCTTTGACAGAATCACTTTCGATTCTTCTTGTGGCTTCTCCCCAAGTAATGGAGGAGTGCTCCTATGTGCTTCTTTCTCTCTGCACAGAGAAGGCTCCACAACGTCCACTGGGAAATGGTGTGCTTTGATAGAAGAGGGAGTGGTTTCCCACTCCATCAGTTCTGCTGATTGGCCAGACCCTGATTCCTGGGTGAGTGTTTCAGAAAGTGGTCTGACTTCTTCCCAGATCCCTTCTTTGGAAAGCGTAGAAAAATCCACATTTGCTCTTTCCAATAAAAAGATTTCACTGTCTGTGAGGGGATGGATATGCCCCTCTTGTGTATTTCTTTGCAAACTTCCAGTTGGAGCCAGAGTCTTTGGTTCTTGGACCACCTTTGTTTCGTCAAAAGAGTGAGTTTCAACTGATAAGGTTTCTATGTTACCCCCAGCAGTACTAGGACTAGAGGCGGGTTCTTGTAATGGCAAATGAGAGTCCTCCACAGCCTGGGGCAGAACTTGCTTCCCAGTTTCACACCTGAGGTTGTCCTCCTCCGAGGCCTGGAGCTGTCCCCTCAGCAGATCACTGGGGCTGGAGGATTCAGTTGTCATACATGACTGTGATTGTTCCCAAGGCAAATTCTCTTTCAGGAATGGCAATTGTTTAATATTTAGATTTGGCTTATCTTGAGAAGAGCTGCTCCCATCAGATAAATTAACAGCTTGATCTGAGTAAAGTATTTTTTCAGGCTTCTTTTGTTTCACACTGAGGTCAGAAAAGGCAATCTTTGATGGTTCTGTAGCAGATCCACAAAGTACCCTGTTTTCTTTATTTTCTTCTCCTCGGCTCCTAAACTCAGTGAAGCCCTTCTCCAAAGCAGAAGTCTGTGTATCAGTTATAAGAGATGCAACTGGTTCTGTGTCTACTGATCCACTCTGTCTGTCTGAACCACCCATGAGCTCTGAGCCAGCCTTCAATAACTCTGATAGTTGGCACAGCTTGTCCTTCTTCTCGGGCTCTGATGCAAGCTTTGCCGAAGCAAGACTTTGTTTCCCCAACAGGAAATCCCCATCAATTGCAAAGGAAGAATCCCATACTTGTTTGTTCTTACCATCCTCAAAGGCCAGTTGTGCTGGGACTACATCTTCTGACACTAACTTTTCAGACTCGAGAGAAGAACTTGTCATCACTTCATTTTTCTCTCCTGGAACTCTGCATTCAGTTGTAGATGATACCATATGTGATGGAAGAAGTTCAGTTTCTTCTTTCTCACCCCCACTCCCCAGGCTGAGTGAAAGCACAGGTTCAGGCCTTGATACTTCTAAAGAAGAAACCGAGTTCTTTTCCTGTGATGGAAGCAAATGTGCGGAGTCAAGGGCCACAGATAATGAAAGATCTTGTTTGTCTTTTCCCTTCACTCCCTCAGACACAGCTGAATACTGAGGAGAGGACATTTTGTTTGCTAGAAATCTAGGTTTCACTTCTCCAGTATCTACCTTTGACAAAACAGAGGGCTCTGAGATACTGCACACACATGGAGGTGAATCTATCTTGGTTTCCTCTTTCACTTCTGATGGAGCCGAACCTTTGGATGAAAAAGTATCAATTTGAGAAGCAGTGCTTGTAATTGCTACCTTTCCCTCTTTAAGAATGGAATACTCATCTATACTCTTGTGAAGTGCTGGCAAATCACTTCCTAACTTACACTTCCCTACTTCTGTTGAAACTAGGTGTTCTTCTACAGGGGCAGGAGATGAGTTTGTAGGGATGTCTTTTACTAGCATAGTTAAGTTTGAATCACACTGAATTACAGGTGCGGTTGTCAGTGAGCTGGGTTCCATTTCTTTCTTCATTTCTTCTGACAAAGCTGAACATGTTGGTACAGGTAGCCCATGTTCAACTTCCTTTTCTACTCTAGATGAGGCTGAATGAAACTCTTTTGTTATTTTGGACTCATGTTGCATTTTGGTTTTCACTCCAGATAAAACCTCAGGTCCAGATACAGAGTTTTCTTCCAGAAGTGAGTACATTTTGACTACTTCAGGCTTATTTTTTGATGACATCCTCTGTTCCAGCTCAGCAGGCACAGTTGGAGCTAAAATGAGCTTGACATCCTTCTCTGGCTCATCTACCAACTCAGGCAAAACTGAATATTTTATCCCAGACCCTGGAACATTTGGAGGCTGAGGCTCCAGCTTCTGATCCTGTGACACATGTGCTGTAGCTTCCTGATAACTGGGCGTTGTTTCTTTATTTCTGACTTTTGACAAAGTCATCTGTTCATCTGCAGCTTTCAGAGTGAGTGGTGCTTTGGGTTTCTGTTCTTTCTTAGCTACATGGACAGAATCAAGTGAATTTTGTGTAGGCAAAATAGGTTTAGTTTCTTCCTTTGCTATGGATGATAGTACATCTAAAGCACCACGGGTTGTAGCTGTTGATGAACTAGCCTTTGTTTCTTCCTGCTCTGACCTATTGGTTAAATATGGTGGAACCAAACCACCAGCCTCAGGCTCCAGAGGCTCTTGAGTTTTCTGCTGTTGTGCTGAAATGAGATATTCTGATACAGATGTTGAGAATGTTTGAACATCTGGCATACTTGCTGTGCTGTCTGTTTTGTCCTCTGAGGATAGAAGGCTTAAGTCTTCAAGTGTAGGCATGACAGGACAAAGCTCGGCTTTTTGCTTCACTGATGAACTGAAATACTCAGGGATAGAGGTAGCAGCTGTTGATCCAATCTCTTCCTCATCTGCTTCTGCAAAGTAAGAAAACCCTGATGCAGACTGTGCAGTTAAGAGGGACTCTAACTCACTTGCATTCCTTTCTGTTTCTGGAATTCTGTATGGTGGGACTGAAACTTGCGATGCTGAGTCTGGAGAAAAAAGTCCAGCATCTTCAGTGTCTTCATCTGACAAAACAGTGTGTTCAGAGGGTGTTGTTAAACACACTGGGGAACCACACTCAAGTTCTCTTTTTTCTCCTTCCTGAGTTGGGTAAGGCGAAAATGAGAATTCTGACACAAATGCAGAATCTGGGGAAAAGGGTCCAATGTCTTCTTGTTCTGATAAATTCATGGGTGATGAGGTGCCTTTGAGACATAGAGGGGATCCTTGGATAATTTCTTCTTCCTGGGAGTCTGATATTGCATATGGTGGTACTAAAAATTCAGAAGCAGATGAGGAAAGGGGTGAATATTGCTCCATTTCTAGGGTCTCTTCTTCTGATAGGACCACAGGTTCAGAGTGGGTACCTGGAAGTGGGGAGGCTTGGTATTCAGAAGTCATCTCAGGTGTGTGGGGTAGGAGATAGTGCTCCAGTGCAGGGGCAGTATCTGGGGAACATGGGCCAATATCTTCCTTCTCTGTTTCTGACAGAGTCTCTTGCTCAAAACTATCTTTTAAATTGAATTGGGGCACCCTATTACTTATCTTCTTCTTGGATTTCTGGGTTCCAGTTAGTGGAATTGCAGATTTGGAAGTTGATTTTGAATCCAGTGTTAGAGGCTTACTTGGAAGGTCCTCTTTTTCTGAGAGGACCACATGTTGCAGGGTAGCAGCAGGAGGCAGAGGGCTCTGGCTCTCAGGAATCTGGTCCTTCAGGGGTGGTGAGAGAGGGCGCTCGGTCACAGGGACCACAGCTGGATACTGTGAGCCTGTGTCTTTCTTTTCTTCTGATAAAATCATATGCTCAGAAACACCTTTTAATTTTAATGGGGGCTCATGGTCAACTGTTTTCTTCAGGGACTCTTGTGCTTCATGTAAGGGAACTGAATATTCTGAAACAGATGTGGAATCTGGTGTGTAACGTCCACTTTCTGAGTCCTCATCGCCCGAAAGGAGCAAGCGCTCTGGAGGGACTGCAGAAAACAGTGGCAAGAGGCCTTCAGAAGGTTTCTCAGGTCTGGATAGTGAGGTATAGTGCTCAGACACTGAGGCCGCAGCCAGGGAGCAAGGCTCAGACTCCTCATTCTCTCTCTCTGACAATATTGCATATTCAGATGGGACTTTTGAGCACGATGGAGAAACTGGCTCAACTTTTTGCTTCTCTGGTTCATCGTTCAAATCCTCAGGGACTGAGTACTCTGACATAAAAGCAGAGTCAGGAGAAACAGACTCGACTTTCTCCCTCTCATCTTCAGATAAAGTGACATGGTCAGGTGCTGCTGTTGTCAGTAATGGAGGCATAGGTTCCTCTTCACGCAGCACCTCAGGGGACAACCGTGATGGGAAGGACTGCTCAGAAACCAATGGACTGTCTGGATAATCGAGTTCTACTATCTCTTCTTCCAAATTAGAACCTTCAGGTTCAGGTGTAGCAGCCATCAGTGGGGAAGTTTCCAGCTCTTCTTGTTCTGCTTCTTGAAAGAGGAGGGGCTCAGGAAGAGAAATGGGTGGCTTGGGCCCGGTTTCCTCTTTCTCTCCTTGGACAACAGGATGTGTGGGAGTCATGTGTCCAGAGACTGGCTCCATCCTTTCTAATGAAATCAGCTCTAGCTCTTCTTTGCCTGGCTCAAGGCCTTCCTGGGTAGTTGGGGACAGACCCAGTGAGCCTGTCCCCAATGAATCCTTCTCTGCCTCTAGTGACATGGTTTGGTCAGCAGAATGCATGACTTCCTTCATGACCTCATCAATCAAGGCTGAGGAGACCGACAAATCCAACTCTGAAGGAACAGCTTCCTCAGCCTCGGCCCCAGATTCTTTCTTTGCTGTCTCCAGAAACCCAGTTGCTGGTACCTTGAGCGGAAGAGAGGAAGGCTCCATTGCATGGGCTTCTGCCTCATCACCTGGCAGTTGTGGCAATGCCTGTGGGGGTCTGAGCAGCACCCCTTGCTCTGTCGTGTCATTACTCAAGTAGCAGGGGGCTGTGGGCCCAGCTGCAGCTGTGGCCTTTAGAGAAGACACAACATCAACTTTCTTTTGATCTTCATGACCAAATAATGAGGCCAGAGACTGTGGTCCTTTGGAGAGTGCACCTTGCCAGGCGGGACCTTGCTCTCCTACTTTATCATACTCTGGGCTTTGGGTAACTAATTTACTTGTTTTGGAAACTGTGTTGGAACCATGATTGTCCAAATCTGGTTCTAAACTAATGGAGGCATCTTTCCCTTTCCTGTAATGTATTTCTTTAATGACATAGCCCTTTGGCAGTGTTCCATAAAATTGTAGAGGAATTAATTCTTCTTTAACTGAATTAAACATCTTAATTTTATACTGCACAGTTCCTATGTAGACTGGCCTTAACACTAATGGTTTGTGTTCTTTATATATTGCCCCAGTAATAGGAGGTGTATTTGAGGTGGTTTTCTTTTTTGTTGTTTTAGCACGGAGGCCGGGTGATGACTTTTCTTTCTCCATGTCCAGTGCCTGGCTTTCTGCATTTAAAGGATTGTCTTTTTTGTTTGCTGGAACATCTTGTAACTCAAAAGAATTTCGTTTTTTACTGCCTTTCCGACGCAATGATGGTGAGCCACGCTTTGACTTATGAGTTCTTTTTTCAACCTTTTTAACTTCATCCACAATAAAGGAAACACTTCCTGGAGGAGAATTCACATTTGATCCTTCTAGACTACACGTGCCAGAAGTCTGACTGTCTTCTGAGACCCATGGAGTAGATCTACTACTTGAACTAGTCTCCCAGGATATCCCGCTATCTTCCTGTTGAACTGTCACCATAGAAAAGTCAGGGTCAGACATGATGCACTGCTGCCTGGTCTTGCCCTCTTCATCCTGGTCTGATAACCTATAAAACAGAACACTACTCATAAGTATATATTATGAAATAATATGCATTTTAATTATTATAATAAGTAAATACATTATAGCAGATATAAGATTAATGGGAAATTAAAACATAGAGATCAATGTTTCCACCTATACTAAAAATAGGAATATGCATGAAATAAAGTTAAAATATTAAAGTCAAAATACCAAATTTAGTAACACCTCAGAGTTCAGGATGACTTAACATCCTTCAAACTCAAAAATTAAGCTGAGGCTCCATGAAGCACCTCTCCTAGGGTAGTCTCCTGATTCAAGTGAACCTCACTCAGGATCGTAGTCCTCCTTTATCTCCTGCGCCTGTGCCTTCTGTCACCTGTTCATACCCAGTAGCTTTGCAACTCACTAACCTTAGGTTGTTGCCATCTGCTTTTTAACTGCTCAGCTAGGGTTACACTGTTACCCACTACCCTCTCACTATCCTTCCAGACTAGCTTTACTCAACATTTTTACCATTTTTTTCCTTTCCCAAAAGTCTCAGTACCTCTTGATATCTATGTCAGAAAAAGCTCCAAATCCTTAATTCTCTGAACCCAGACATTATTTACAAGTACATACCCACCCCCAGAAGGGCTAATTTCTGTTTTAACTGCAATCATGTGCCAAAAAATGACATTTTGTCCAATGATGGGTCACATAAATAACATTGGCCCTAGAAGATTACAATGGAGGTGAAAAATTCCTGTCATCTAGTGACATCATTGTATCATATGCAATGCATTACTCATGTGCTGTGGAACTGCTGGTAGAAACCATCAGGTGTATAGAAGTATAGCACATCAAGCATGCATTGTACATCTGTCAGCCCACTCAGGGGGTACCCAAAGGAGATTTTCCAGGGTGAGTTCCCAAGGTTAAAGAATACAGATGTACAACACATCTGTAACAACAGCAGGCAGCATGGAGCACAGGAGAGCAAAAGAACATGGCAGCCAGAGCAAGAGCCGCCCATGTCTTTATTGTATAATTCTTATACAGATTGTCATCTCATATTTACAATCTTACATAGTGATGTAACCAGTACATGCATATTTACCTATGCTGTCATTGTTACATAACTGTATACCACTGTGCACCTGCACTAGACAAGTGGGGTCATGTCCCCAGGTATTCTTTAGTGTCCCTAAGCTTTGAAGCTCTCTGAGTGGTTTCCCACAACATCACACTTGACAAAGAGTACAAACCAGTAACATGGTTTGTGTATTTGCTTGTTATGCATGAACTGGTTTATATACTATTCTCTGTATTGTTACTTTGGAATATACTCCTTCTACTTAAAAAATTTTACTGTAAAAATATGTACCAAGGCATGCCAGCAGCAGCCTCATGTATCTAATGTTCAATGTCCTTTGATTGTGTCAGGAGGGGATATAGAATAAATGACATCTACTACTCAAGTTTGTATGAAGTATATGTCATCATATTCACACAACAATAAAATCACCAAACAGTGAAATTCTCAGAATGTATTCCCAATATCAGGTGACACTCAATCATATACAATTCACTGTCCAGTAAATATATCATGATTTCTTTGAGTCAGGATAACAAAAAACAAGTCACCAAATAAATGAGAGATGACCAAAAAAATGCAGGCTACAATGCATAACTTTCCTCATCTGTAAACCAGGGTAAATAATAGAACCTACCTTGTGAGATGCTGTGAAAACATGGAACACTAAGTGATGATCTTAGGCATGTAGCTGGTGCTCAATTAACACTATCTGTAGTCACCCCTCTTTTCAGTTCCTGGCCCAGAGGGCAAAGCAGCCTGAATGCACTGGCATTCACAGAGATCTGGAGATGCGGCTTCCTGGACAGCTCTCCAGTCTCCTGTGGCACAGCAGGCAGTGGCTGCCCTTTCAGTTGCCATCAGGGCAGCTGTCTCCTGTCTTTCAGTCTGCAATACTTTCCTCGTCTGTAATTTCCTCGCCCTCTTTCTCATGGGCAGCTTTGCTGTTTCTCTGTTTAGAATACTCACCCTCCACCATCCCCCACCTCTACACTCCAAGATTTCTTTTTAAAATGACCGCTGTTACCCTTCTTAACCAATGAGGTGGATGTGTTTGCCGGTGCTACATAAACATTAAATCAGAGATAAAAACTCCAAAGACTATTCCATCCTGGAAATGTGCCTACACTTTGAACAAAACCCAGAGTGACTAGTTTATACCTTTCTACACCAACAGAAACAGAAGTCTGTTAAAATCACCGAGCATAAGTATTAAATTAAGATTTTTTTCAAAAAGACACATAATTAGAATTATGTCCCTTATTAGATCTTTATGATCATTGTACATTGCTTATATCATTGGTTCTCAACTTGGACACTCTTGAAACCCCCATGGGGTAATTTCTAACACTGGAACCATTCCACATCCTTTTGCACAGTGACTCTGACTTAAAATGCAAGCACATAGTCTGGAAATTCCATGTCTTTATGTTTTAAAAGCTTCCAGATGACTTCAATTTGCATCCAGAGTTTAAATCCTAGATTTAAAATTTAGATAGCACAGAAGTTTCTCTCTTACTCTGACATTTCCCAGCGTGCTGGCTTTGGCTGAAATGAGGACCACAAGTCCTTTTGGGTAAATACTACTCCCTCTTGCAGAACTTCAGTCTGCAGCAGTCTCACAAGAGGGGGGTCTGGCTGTGCTGAGTCCTTGAACCCCTTACCTGTCCATGCAACAATGAGGAGCGGGGGCCGCTGGCCTGCATAGCCAGTAGCTTTATCCACCCAAAATGGAGTGCTTACAGACAACAGCAACATACTGCACTGGTCTGAATGCTAAGAGTTTGGGAGCAGGGAAAGAACTGAGTTCCCATTTTCTGGCAATTTCATGCTTTTCATTTGTTTTGGTATTGAGCTACTGAATTTAATTAGTAATTAATCGAGTCCCAGACTAAATATTACTTAGAATTGTTTTTTTCAGGCTCTTTTATGTACCAAATTAAAGTTGTTGCTCAGAATTTTCATTTGTGTCACTTAATATTAATAGGGTGAAATTGAAAATTAAGGTTATGACACACATCTGGAAAGTCAGGATTTGGAATGACTGTGACTACAGCAGAATTAAAAAAGCAATTATAAATTCAATTGAGAGTTCATTATGGATTTCAAATTTGGTGTGGCTAAGCAGAGACATTTTCATTACTAGCATTGCTAGCATAAGCTCAGGAGTGCTGAGCAAAGCACCTAAATGGTGGTCTCAGTAACAGAGCCCTACTGAAGTAGAGTTAACCAACCATGTGCTTATTTGTTAACTTATTATTGTTGCATTTAGTAAACTTTTATTAACTTTAGATAGTAAAAATGTGACTATAATGACACAGAACCTTCTTTAAGGAAATTCAAATCTAGTGAAAAGACAGAACTAAACACTGCAGTACATGTGTCAAGAATTACTGCAGATGGTCAATCAGATAAGGCCTAGGGAAAGAAAGACTCCACAGAGGACAGAGCCTGCAGCTGGTTGGCTTATTTGCCAAATGCAAGAGGAGAGAAGACAGCATGAGGGTGGAGAGATCAACAGAAAAGGTCCTAGGATATGCAAAACACATATGTAAATGAACACTGGCTCAGTGCAAGACAAAGTTGACTAATAGTTCCAGGAGAACATGGCAGATAGTTAACAGCAGCTACAGAGACTCTCTGATACAGCCAGCTTAGATTCCAGGAATGGTGCAGTGTGGGGAGTCCTAAGGAGGGGGAGATATATCCTGCCAACCCAGGAATGAACCAAGCTGAGAGAAACCAACTAGAAATGCAATCCCGGTGCTATGACTGGAACAGCTAAAGTCTCAGTGCTGAAGCTGGAAACTGCGCCTCTGGAAACTGCAGCTTGAATTTCCTGTTGCCACTGATGCATCTGAATCAGCACAGCAGGGATAGAGACACAAAAGCTCTGAGAGTGAGAATCAGCAAACCAAATTGAGAGCAGAGCTGGCTGGGAGCTGTGCATCGACCTGCAGAGAGTGAGAGGAATGGGGACCCTTCCATAGACTAGGAGGCTCCAACAGAGGACATTCTGGGACCGGGCAGACTAGCTGGAACAGGACACTGCAGTGACTTCAGGCACATATTCCCCTCTCAAGCGGGATTGGTAGGGAGTGCTTTACCTGGGTGACACCATGGACTAAGACTCAGTAGGCTAGACCAAACCAGGTCCCTGCACCTGGCAGTGCACCCTAATGCAGTGAAGCCTTCAGCAGATTGACTGACCTGGAGGGGTGAGCCCAGCAAAGGCTGCCCAGGTCTGTGTCTCCCTAGTACACTGCAGTGGGCAGGAATACCTAGCAGGCACAATTCAAACAAACTGTAACCGACAAAGAAAGAAACTGAGCCTCCTATATATGCTTGTATGGAAGGAACAAAAACTATGGGAAGAGGGAGCAACAAGTAAGGGTCCTCAGTCCCCAATCCTGAGAACACTGATCCAGGAAGGGTAAATGCAGAAAAGAATGAGGACAGAAAACATGTAATATCAGGCATGGCACCAATAGACATAAAGCGATATCTCCAGGACTTCATAGACGAGTTCAAAAGTGAAGTACTTAACCAAGTAAAGCAAGATATAAGTAGAATAGCTAAAGAAATGCTAAGCACCTCCCCCCAAAAAAACAGATAGTGGAATGGAAGAACAGGAAAAAAAGGGGAGACATGTTTGATGGAGAAAGTAGAGAATATGTACAATACATGAAGCAGGTTCAAAGAGATTACCAGGAAACTAAAAACTCTATTGAAAGCTGGCATTACAGCTTGAAAAAAACTAATGATAGATTATCTAAAATGGAGGACAGATTTGTAAGGTGGGAGCATGAAAGGAAAAACTTCTTAAAAATAACAAGGAAATAAGCAGTAACAATACAAAGGCTAGAAGATGATAAGAGGATCTATAACTTAAGAATTAAGAATGTAAAGGAAGAAACAGGGATACAAACAAATGAACTGCAAAGGCTATT